AAAAAAAAAAAAAAAAAGTAGATCTGCAATAAGAGGAAAGAGAAGAAGATGGATGGAAGAAAAGGAAGTATACTAGGACTCTTTAGTAATTTTGTAGTTTAAATTGGCCACATCACTCACCCAATGCCATATCAACACCAAGCCATTCCTTGCTAATGGAGTAACAAGATGTAGACAAAAAGATGGCATTTGATGATGTTATCATCAACAAAAGGGCTAATTTGTGGATTTTGTCAAGTAGAGGGGCTGATTTGCACTACTTTTAAGTAAAGGGGCTTATATACCACAACAATGGAAGTAGAGGGGTTGAATTGCACCTTCTACCATTCAAAATTGGTTTTGAGACAAAAATTCTCTTATGATGGATTTTATTATTATCATATATCTCTTAAAAGATTCTAAATGACTTCAAATGCATTTTATGGATGTTATAACATTTGAATATTTGATAGTTATATGAAAATCCCTACAAGATTTGATATGCCTAAGGTGTATGGCTTAAAATCTGGAAAGACTTTTTTTTTTTTTGATTTATACAATTAAAGCAATTGTATCATTGAGCAATCAGGAAAAATGTCGTACAATTGTTTTAATGAATTCCTTCTAAATGAAGGATTTGAAAATTACCATATTCATCCATTTGTTTTTATTGAGATTGAAATTTGCTATTGTTGTAATACAATATGATGATTTGATTATCATTAAACTCTAGAAGAGTTTAAATTAAGAATGATTAAATATTATATTGTCTCAACTTTGCAAATTGAGAACTTATTGAGTTAAATCCATCAATAAGATGATGTTGAAAGGGTTTTGAAGTGCTTTAATATAAATGAAGCTTATTCTTTGAGCTCACTAATGGTTGTTTGATCCCTTAAAACAAAGAATAATGTTCTCATACTTGAGAAGACACATTTTGGTCTTGAAGTACCATATTGGAATATAATAGATGCATCGATATATCTTGCTAATATAATATGTTATTCGTTATGCAAGATATTATTTTACAATGACTCAAAGTCATTAAAATGGAATTAAATATATATTTTGTTATCTTTAAGGGACAAATAAAATAATATTATTATATCTAAAGCACTAAGAATCCAAATTAATTACATATACATTTATTGAATTTTTTCATCAATTTAACATAAAGTGTAGGTATTTATTCATGTATAGTGGTTTCTCAATTTCTTGACATTGAATTCAACAAACAATAATCGTCATATCCTCAAAAGAAAAATTGTAACAATATTTGGGGCTGGCCAAAGACGTGCATGATGTTGACTTTTGACCCAACATGTTTAAGCAATATGTGGCCTTCTAACAATTGCAGGAAGTCTCATGTTACTATACAAGGAGAATACTACATGCATTGAACAATCAAGGAAGAACACATCAAAAGAGATGGAAACCAACATAACTCAATCATTTTCTTTTTTATATATGAGTTTTAGAAGACTAGTGAAATATATGCCCAACAAAAATGGTTCAACTGAGCTTCTTAAAGGTCTTTTCACCTAATCATTGCATACCAAGTTTTTTTTTTTTCTTAAACAGCTAAGATTAATATTAGGTGGTCTCAAAGATATTTGTTAAAGTGAAGGGGAGCATTATACGCACTGCACTCTTTTTTCCTTTGCCATGTCTTTTTCCCCCACATGGTTTTTTCTAGTAAGGTTTTTAATAAGATAGTTCAATAGGCGTATAATTGATGAACATTCAAAGGGGAGTATTATGAACAATGCAAATGAATGGATGTTTCCCTTCCTCCCTTTAAGCTATATTCATGGAACTAGCACATTCATGGAAATAACAAATTGTATTCAATGTTTTAATTAAGTTCCATTCATGAATCTAGTCAAGTTCATCCATTGAATTTATGTAATACTCATTATTCCTTAACCTATATATAGGCTGCCATTGGATGTAAGAAACTAAAACTAGAAATTGAAGAGTGAAAGAAATGGAAGAATTGATATCTCAAAAAATTTTTCCCATAATTTCTCCCCTTTTCTTACCTCATTTTCCTACCTCATCTTTATATATTCTTACTTCTTCATAGTCAAATATCGCTTATTTTATAATAATATCTTGTTTATTTGAAAAAAAAAAAATTGGGTTAATAGTTTTTATATTCCAGTCATGAAATTGATTAGATTATTGACCAATTACTAGGTTAAGCATATTAAAGAAAATATCATCTCATAATTATTTGAGATTCAACTTTCTAAATATTTAGGATTCTATAAATATATTATTTATTACTCTTGTGTCCTTCCATATTGCTAGGGTGATATAGTTTGTATTTCAATTGGTAATATCGCCACACCAATATATATTACATTTTACCAAGGACTTGTTGGTTCAAATGGAAGGAATTTGGTTCCCCTTAAGTAAAATTTCGAATTTGAGTCTTGTGAATGGAGAAACAGGTAATGAAAGAGCTTCTCCTTTTATGGGGTCTGACATAATTCGATTTCAAATTGGTCGAGATCCAATGTGATTACCAGATACTGAAAAGTTAATACCAAAAATATATTATATATTACATTCTTTGTAAAGTAATATAATGAATTCAATCTGTTGTTTTAAAAAAGTTAGCCTACCTTATTAGATATTAAGGAAAATATCATCTCATAATTAATTGAGATTCTGCATTCTAAATATTTAGGATTCTATAAACATATTATTTATTATTCTTGTATCATTCTAGGTATGCTAGGGCTACATAGTTTACATTCTAATTGGTAGTATCACTACACCTCTCTATATTTCATTCTTTCTAAAGTAATACAATGAATATTAATGATTTATTAGTCTGAATAGAAAGAATTCAATTTTTTTTAGTAAGATTTTGAGTTTGAGTATTATAAATGGAGAAATAAGTGGAGAAGCTCTGATGTGACTCGATTTCAGATTAGTCAAAATCCAATTTAAGTTTTAAATACTAGAGGATTTGGTAAAAATAAAGAAGTAATATGATGAATTTAGAGAGCCTAGAAAATTCCTCGGTAGAGAGCATGGAAAATTAGGACATCTCGACACTCAAGATGTTTATCACAATCATCTATTGAGTATGTCTCAATGGTAGGATCTACTCACATATGACTGTGATGGGCATCCTAAGCACCAATATGTCTTAGTTTTTATATTTTTGATGAATTTAACTCCTTATTTGACAAAGTTAGCCTGACTTATTAAAGTGCAACATTCAGTAAACACTGCAAATAAAGGGAAAAAAAAGAAAAGAAGGGAAAACGTTAATTTTCGTTTCATCGTATCCTACTCCCCCTCCATATAAAAAGCACTCTTCCGCCCACCCTGTTTGTCCCTTCTTTTTTTTCCCTTCGCTCCTTTGGATTCTCCCCAAGGAACTTTCCTAGATTTCGTTACTTGGATAATGGCGAAGTCGAGCGCTTTCTGTTCCATTTTCCATTTACTTAGTTTTCTGGTGCTTCCTATTTGGGCCCGAAACAGCCAATTGTACGGCAAAGAGTTGTGGCAGCGAGAAGCCGATAGAGTCACGGACTTGCCAGGGCAGCCGCCCGTGAACTTCCGCCACTACGCTGGCTACGTGCAGCTCCGGCCGGACGGCCACAAGGCATTATTCTACTGGTTCTTTGAAGCGCAAAACGGAGCAGCTCTCAAACCTCTCGTTCTTTGGCTCAATGGAGGTTCGTTTTTCTTCCATTTTAAATTCAATTCGTTCTCGACCAGTTCCTCTTTTTCTCTTTAGAGCATTCAATTTGATATTTTCATTGCTTCTTTTCTCTGTTTTTATACGCCTATATCAGCGATTTCCTTTAACAATTCATATATTACCATTCAAATTATATATTAAAAGTATAGTTTATTTTTTAAATTTATTTTTTATGTTATTTTATTAAAAATATTTTAATAAATTTATATAATAAACTGTATTTTTTAATATTTATAAAACATTTTTTATTTTCTTAATTTGTAAAAAGAAAAAAAACGATTTCCATCTTTCAAGCAATGGATTTGACCAACCGTTAAATTTTAACGGTCAGAGAAAAGCAGTTCGTCATGATCTGTGTACGAGAATTTCCAAAGTTGCAAGTAAGTTTGTCCAGTAACGGGCAGACTGGCGACAGAGAATTAGAAAGTTTTATTCTTGTGCGCTGCTGCCACTCCATTGCAATTATTTACTTTTCAACAGTCTTCGGTGTAACAGCAACAGTTTTTTTTTTTTTTTTTCCTGAAAATAACAGAAACAGTGTTGTTTTATAATTTGGATTGATCTTTGTATGGCAGTCCCAAACTAAGAATAAGTTATACCACCCCTTTATTAAAAGAAAAAAAATTAGACTACTAATAAAGAGGCTTTGCAATCCGGCAGTAAAAAATTAGTAAGCACTTAAAATTATATTTACAGTTGTATACCTAATCCAAAGGATATAGACTCCTTCGAGAGCAAAGTGGTGGCTCTGGAGGGTGTTAGGTAAAGTAAAAAATGTACTTATTTTTTAAATAAATTTTTTAAATGTTTTAAATTTTATTAAAATATAATTTAAAATAACTTTTAAATATGTTTTTCAATAAATTTAAAAAAATTTAAATGTGTCAATTTTTAAAATTTTATTTAAAATTACTTTAAAGAATTAATTTTTTAATTTTCTTTTAATAAAATTTACATTTTAAGCAAGTATGTTTTACATTCTACCAAAAACCCTGTATGATAAAAGAATCAAACCTTGCCATCCCCTTCCCTCGTCCCCAGAAAGTTAAATTAGTTCAAAAATATATATATTTAAAGTTGTACACCCTTTCAAATAACAAAAAAAATAATTGCAATACAAATTATATATTAAAAGTGTAATTTATTTTATAAATTTATTAAAATATTTTTAATAAAATTATTTTTTATATTTTTAATAAAATAATATAATCATTTTATTATGAATGTTTTAATAAATTTATAAAATAAATTACTTTTTTAATATATAATTCAAATTATAATACTTGAATCCTTTCAAATAATGTATTCTTTACCAATAAAATTTTAAGTATTTTCTATTCCAAACTTTAAAATGACTAAACTTCTTAACATTTCACTAATAACACCAGCGTAATATCTTATATGAACTATCTAAACTAGTACTCCAATAATAATTTTTGTTGTTACTTTTATTTATATATATATATATTTTAGAACACACATAAATTTTTTTTAATGTTCCAAGAATATGCATATTTATTATTCCTTTCACTCATTTTTAATAAATTTAGTTTAATTTTTTAATTTTTAAAATATTAATTTTAAATAAAAATTTAATAATTTATATAAATAATAATTAAAAAATATATTTAGTAAACATCAAATATAATATAATTACACTACACTTGACCCTTCAAATCAAGTTACAACCTGTCAAACTTAAAATGTATTTTCCCATGCAGTTACAACTTAGTCAAAAAAAAATATATATATATATATATAATATAACTATACTATTCAACGGTCGGTCGCCCTGTTTTACTGGGTAAGTATCTGTCGCACCTCTCCCAATATGAACACTAGACCGTTGATTTCTGGACCACTCCTGCTGCACCATGCTTTTACCGCGCTTTCTTTTTAAGCCAGCCAGGCGCCAACTGGCAACGAGTCTTCTGTTCTGACCGTTTACTTTCTGCCCATTCATGAACTTTCTTCCTTCTGTTTTGTCTTCAACACAAATTCTGGGACCCACGCATGCAACATTTGACTGACACTTCGACCCATCAAAAATGCTCCTGTCCCACTGTCACACTGTATTTTTTTTACAAGTTAATTTAAAATATTTTATTTAAACTACGCTAAAGTTTTTATTTGGTCCTACGATTATTTTATAAATATTTAAATTAGTTATTAAATTAAAAAAGTCTCAGTTCTTAAAATTTTTAAATTTGACTTTAAATTAATTTTTTTATTAATAAAAGTTTATGTATCTTATTATTAATATAATATATAACTATTAAGTAATAACCTTCTATTGTCAAGTAATAACTTTTTATTGTCAAATAATAAAACATTAGTTACTTTTTAATAAAATGGTCAACTTCAAACTAAATTTGAAAATTTTAGATATCAAATCAGAGATCTTTTAATTGAAGGATCAAATTAGGAGTTTTACCTTTAAATTAATGTGAAGAATTTAAATTTTTATAATGTTAAATAATTAATTTTTAATTTAAATTTTTATAATGTTAAATAATTAATTTTTTAAATTAAAAAAATTCATCTTACCTGTCACTCATGCAAAATCCTATTTATATGGGAAAAAAAAATCTTACTCTCACATTTCAATCTACTCTTTCTTTCTTTCTTTCTTTCTTTTTTTTCTTTTTACCATAATTTTAATTTACTTGTCATATTTTGTTTTGAAAATGTTATCTATCTACCTTACTTCTAAACATTAAAAAGAAAATTATCTTAAAATTAGGTTATTTTAATAAATTATTATTGAAAAAAATTAAAATATCTTATTTTTAAAACATAAATTAAAGTATTTTTAGTCATTTCTCATAATATTTTATTGAAATAATATAATTTTAATTTTTTTTTTAATTCTTAAGAGATAAGACCTATAAGGATCATTTTTTTTTCTGTTTTTCAAACGTACTTATTTTCTTGTTTTCTTTTAAATGTTGTCACTAAGATAACATAGCGCAATAGACAATTTGCTTTTAAATTTTAAAATAATAGACTGATTACCATAGGAATTTAAAATAAAAGTTCATGTTTTTATGACATAGATTACAAGTTAAAAAACCATTAGATGAGAAATAGTTTTAAATATTAAAAGGCACATTTTTACTTAATAATTAGTTTTGTGCAATTAAGATTATATAAAATATAACAATTTCATAAAAAGTTAAACTAATAGTTAATTTTGGAGATTATGAATTATTTAAAACATAATAATTTCACGAAATGTTAAAAAAAAATTGTTTTCGAACCTAGCATAACGTTGCTTACTTTCTGGATCAAATAGTTCACAATTTTTCATACATACAGCAAGATATATATTAAGAATATTACCAAAACGAATCATCAATATTTCAGGACCTGGTTGCTCATCAGTAGGCTATGGAGCTACACAAGAACTTGGTTCATTTTTTGTTAGAAACAACGGCACCCAGCTTGCTCTTAACAAATTTTCTTGGAACAAAGGTAACTCAAAAAAAAATAAAAAAATTTATTTTTATGTCTTTATATTCTTTCTCTTCATTCTAACATTCTTTCTTTCTTTCTTTTACTTTGTTGTAGCTGCCAATATGCTGTTCCTGGAATCACCAGTTGGGGTAGGGTTTTCATACACCAACAATTCAAAAGATCTATATGAGCTCGGTGATCAAGTTGCGTCTGAGGATGCTTATGCTTTCTTGGTTAACTGGTTCAAAAGGTTCCCGGAATTCAAATCCCATGATTTTTATATTACTGGAGAAAGCTATGCCGGTACAGCTAGCTAGCTTTTCTTTTCCTCCCTTCTTTCAATATTCCCTTATCGCTTGAATTGTTCACTTGGTGTTTGATATAATGTCTTCATTAGGCTTATAAAATTTACACATACATCACTAATGTGTGTTTTTTCTGGCCTCCTTCTTGCCCTTTTCCTCAGGTCACTATGTTCCACAGCTAGCCAATCTCATTTATGACAGAAACAAAGAATCTATCAAGGACTCTTACATAAATATCAAGGGATTCATGGTACGTTTCTGTCCCATGAACTAATGTTGTGTTTTAGTTCCAATGTCCAATTTTTCTGTCAAAAAGGATGGATCACTTAAAACAGCACAATTATACTGAACTGCAGTAGTTTGGATTATAATTTCAGATTGGTAATGCGGTGATCAATGATGAAACTGATGCTGCTGGCTTCGTGGATTATGCTTGGACTCACGCCATCATTTCAGACCAACTCTACAATAGCATAAAGAGGGAATGTGATTTTGAACAGATTTCTCATTCGAGCCACTGCAATGTGGATATCAGAGGGGTCATGCAAGCTTATAATAGGATTGACATATACAACATCTATGCTCCAATTTGCCTCAATTTCCTTTCAAAATCTGCCCCAAAACTCCTAGTTGCTCCTCATTTCCTCACACAACATGTAAGTTCTCATTATATCATTCTGTTCTCCTATAATCTCTTGCTGATGACTAGATTTCCTGTAATTATGTATCATAAGTGCAAGATACAACATCATACAAGTTGTACAACTTCAGCGAAATTTGATCCTATTTGAAAATATGAAATTCTAAAAGTCGTAAAAAAGTAGCAAAAGATGTAATTAACTCTTAACTCCCAACTGCATGTACCATGCACATATAAATGACATAACTACAGGATCTGTGAGCAATTGATTGCAGAATTTAAGTCTGTCCAACTGTAGCATGTGGGTAAATATATATGCGAAAAAAAGACAACTAATGATATTAGAATTTGCATTTTGTTCCTTGATTAATATCAGGAACTCTGGTATAAACAACCAGCAGGCTATGATCCTTGTACAGATGATTATGTGGAGAAATACTTTAACAGAGAAGATGTTCAAAAAGCTTTACATGCAAATGTCACCAACCTGCGATATCCATATACTCTTTGCAGGTAGTTAAAACTAGACCATACGTATCAACGTTCTTTTTTCCTTTTTCTTTTTCATTACATAATCATCATCATTAATTGGTGCATATGTAGAATTCTGATTGCTGGATTAAGCAACCAATCATGAATGTATAGGAGTCATTATTACCAGTATGTACTATCTATTGTATACCTTCTACCTAAACTGTAAAATGGTGAGTCCAGAATCCTGCAACTTTTAAGCATTTAATGAGAGCATGTGTCAAATCATTGAACTGGAGCTTTCTCTCTGTTTTCATGCAACACAAAATTCAATGAAAAATTGCAGTGGGATTGACCTCTCCTTTTCATTTTCATTTTTATTTTCTCTCTCTGTTTCCATTTTCTACTCCAGGCACTTAATTAGGCTGTTAGGTATGGTAGAAAGAGTAACACTTTTGAGAATGGTGGATGCATGATGCAGTGGCAGACAGTTTTGTTTGTGAAGTTCTTTGATATCATTTTTGCAATGACATTTATTTCAAAATATTTTCTCCTGTACATCGTACTCAATCTCAGTTTGGTATACCAAAAAATATTGAATGATTTAACATATCATTCAGTGTCTTAGCTACCTGATATTTATGGACCTCATGTGATCTTCCAATTGCAATGGGTCCAGAGTCTATTTATAATCTATTTCAATTTCTGTTAATACTTTTAATGGATTACATAACAGAATATCATCATTTTTTGGCTGTGGAGATTCCCTTTCTTTCAAAGTTACCACAAGAGTTAAGAGTACTGCAAACTCGTTGATGTAGACTTTATGAATGTGTAATTAATTAAGTTCATGTTTTTTTTTTTTTTTGGCGAAGTTTCCTTGGATTATATCGAAGTGTCTAAGCTTCTGTGTTATAACATACGCAGTGGAGTTATTAAGCGATGGAACGACTCTCCCGATTCTATGTTACCCATAATTCAGAAGCTGCTGAAAGCAGGATTGCGCATTTGGATTTACAGGTACCTAAATTAAATTTGATTTCTGTTAATGCTATTTATTATATATGAATTATGATGATGATAATAAAATGTTGCAGTGGTGACCTTGATGGGAGGGTACCTGTGACCTCGACAAGGTACAGCATAAACAAGCTGGGATTAAAAGTAAAGGAAGAATGGAGGGCCTGGTTCCATAACAGCCAAGTGGCCGGATGGGTGGAGACATATGAGGGTGAGCTCACATTTGCCACCGTGCGCGGTGCAGGCCACATGGTCCCAGTCTTTGCTCCCCATCAGGCCCTCTCTCTCTTCGCCCATTTCCTCTCCGCCAAGACCTTGCCAAGAGCTTCCCGTTTCTAGCCGCCGCTGCCAGTATCCCTGCCACCGTGGGATAGACTCGTCATGGTAACCATCATCTGTGTTTATGACTTTATGTTAATTAATAACTATAAGTATCCATTATGTAATTTACTGTGGCAGCATTAGCAAGAATGAATTTTATTTCCTATTATTAATTTTTTAAAATCTTGATAATTGTGTGCAGTGTGCCTTTATTGAGATATTGTTCACTAAAAAGCTGAACTCGATGCATGAACATTGTTAGGTACGAAATTCATATGTTTTGTTTTATAAGCTGCACTGCACTTCGTTTATATTGGATTTGATTAGTTATTTACTACTTTTAAGTTTTTTAGGAATTAGTATTTACCAATTAGATTTATAAAAAAATTAAATGAAAAACACTAAAAATTATATTATTTCAATAAAATATCATAAAAAAATTAAAACAATCGCATTCTTACTTTAAAAAATAATATGCTTTTAGTTTTTTTTTCAATGAAATTTTATTAAAATAACATAGTTTTAAAATATTTTTGTTAGCTTAATGCACTTTAAGGGAGGGCTAAATTGGAGTTTAAGAGTTTTTTTTCTTTTCCAACCACAAAGTAAAAATCAAAGAGAAGAGAAGAGAAGAGATGCTTGGATAACTATTTTATAGAGGTTCAATCCAACTAGTTAGCACTTAATCCTATATCTTGATTTCACTCACCACAAATTTCCTGTACTCTCTCTCCACTAAAATAAACAAGGGTGACTTAAATGAGTCACTCATCCTTTTACAAAAAATGGATTTCTTCACAAATCACACCCCTTTACAAAGCAAGCTCGACAATCCTCACTACAAATCACTCTTGAAGAAATTAATCACACTCTCAGGATATCTCTCAAAGAAAGCAAGTAGAAGATCACAAAAAAAGATCACTTAAACATCAATCTTACAAGTTAAAGCACCAGAATCTAAAGTTGGTAGATGAAAGATATTCAATTAAATTGTCTAAGAGAGTCTTAAAGACTTCTATATTCATACCCTTAAGGTTGAAAATAGACGTTTCTAGCCATTGGGGATTATTTAATACACTATAGATCAATTTAACTATGAGAAAACACGTTATAGAATTTTACCGTTGAGCCGACCAAACTTTAGAGCTAGCTTTTCATAGCTAGCTATAAATATTAGAGCCAACTATCTTGAACTCTAGTTGAATATTTTGTTTTTCTATTAAGCTAGTTGTAAAATCCAAAGCCAATTTAAAAAATTTAAGTTTGAAAATTTTAGAAGTATTCAAATTTTTTACCATTGGACATTAAACGCTCCATCAGAGTTGGTTACCAAATCAAAGCCGGCTTTGCATCTATTTCCCATGCATGCCATATTGTAGGTTTGAACTTTGAAATGGTAGAGCTAGCTCTCAAAGCCAAGGTCGACTATCTACACCATGTTTAGCATTTTTGGTACTCTTTTGATGGTGTCCAATTCCATTCACTTCTTCTATCTTCCAATGCATAAACTACACACTTAAGTAAACACATTAATAACTTGAGTGTGTGTCTTGTGATCATCAAAATTATAGGTATAACAATTTTTCTACGTAATTTTTAACTGGTAAGGTTGATAAACATTTTTTTCTTATATTAATAATTAACTAAAAATATATATTAAATTGTTCTTTTTGATAAAATTTTATGTGTGATCAAGTTCGATGGAATAGGAAGGGCAGACTTAAGGTATTACATAGGTAGCATAGAATAGGAGAATTCAATTAATTTGATATCAAGTCTTATTCAAAATTGAATTGTAGTAGTTAATGAGAATATATATATATCTCGAATTACATAATAAGAGATAATTTTTTTCATCTCTTAACCTATCCCAACCAAAGATCAATATGACTTGAATTCAAGACTTTTTACTTTTATTAAGAGGAGATTATCATTAAATTATTTAAGTCATTAACAATAAGAAAATATTTTTGATATAATTAGATTTCTTAATTCCTTATTATATAATTATAGATTGAATTAATTTCTTATTTTATACATTTTTTAATTTGTGGGTTTCACAACCCTTATGTTAGATTTCAACTACTCTTTAATGTGAGTAATGCTATGGATACACTCTTTAATACTCTTTTTTGAACACTC